GTGTCCCACAAGAGTGTCCCACAAGAGTGTCCCACAAGAGTGTCCTAGAAGAGTGTCCCACAAGAGTTTCCTACAAGAGTGACCCACAAGAGTGTCCTACAAGAGTGTCCTACAAGAGTGTCCCACAAGAGTGTCCCACAAGAGTGTCCTATAAGAGTGTCCCACAAGAGTGTCCCACAACAGTTTCCTACAAGAGTGTCCTACAAGAGTGTCCCGCATGAGTGTCCTACAAGAGTGTCGTGTAAGAGTGTCCCACAAGAGTGTCCTGCAAGTGACCCACAAGAGTGTCCTACAAGAGTGTCTCACAAGAGTGTCCCACAAGAGTGTCCTACAAGAATGTCCCACAAGAGTGTCCTACAAGAGTGTCCCACAAGAGTGTTCCACCAGAGTGTCCTATAAGGGTGTCCCACAAGAGTGTCCTACAAGAGTGTCCCAGAAGAGTTTCCTACAAGAGTGTCCTACAAGAGTGTCGTGTAAGAGTGTCCCACAAGAGTGTCCTGCAAGTGACCCACAAGAGTGTCCTACAAGAGTGTCCCAGAGGAGTGTCCCACAAGAGTGTCCTACAACAGTGTCCCACAAGAGTGTCCTACAAGACTGTCCCACAACAGTGTCGCACTAGAGTGTCTCACAAGAGTGTCCCTTAAGAGTGTCCTACAGGAGTATCCCACAAGAGTGTCCCACAAAGTGTGTGCCACAAGAGTGTCCTATAAGAGTGTCCCACAAGAGTGTCCCACAAGAGTTTCCGACAAGAGTGTCCTACAAGAGTGTCCTACAAGAGTGTCCCACCAGAGTGTCCTACAAGAGTGTCGTGTAAGAGTGTCCCACAAGAGTGTCCTGCAAGTGACCCACAAGAGTGTTCTACAAGAGTGTCTCACAAGAGTGTCCCACAAGAGTGTCCTACAAGAGTGTCCCGCAGTGTCCCACAAGAGTTTCCTACAAGAGTGTCACACAAGAGTGTCCCACAAGAGTGTCCCACAAGAGTGTCCTACAAGAGTGTCCCACAAGAGTTTCCTACAAGACCCACAAGAGTGTCCTACAAGAGTGTCCTACAAGAGTGTCCCAGAAGAGTGTCCCACAAGAGTGTCCTACAAGAGTGTCATTTGGACATATTAGTTTTTCGATCGTGTTTGCATTCGGGTTCGTGGGTTCCATCTTGTTTTTTCGACGATTCGGTATGATTGTGATCGGTTTGATGTGCCCGTATACGAAGGGAAATGAGTTACGTTGGGTGTGTGTATATAATTAATGCTTGTTTTCCCGCTCCTTTGTCGAGTTGTAGACATGAAATCGGATGAAGTGAGATGAGGTAACATGGTTTTTGGATGTTTTTGGACCTTCTTGTTTGGACTTGAGCCTGTGGATGTTGGGACCTACCATCTCGAGAAACGAATGGTCGGAAGTATGGCACATGATGCGAACCGGGAAGCTGATCGAATGGAACATCGCTACTTCCTTTGAAATCATAACATAACCCAAAGGCAGGTTGAAAGTCATGTTTTGATGCCCTGCCTTCTTTGGCAATGAACACCAAGAACTGGAGAAACAAGGTCTACAAAAAGAAACAGATGCCGTGGGCCACAGCAAACCGATTAAAGACCATCACAACATACAAACTCTGTCGGTGTTCCCTTCTTTTTAGACGGGCCAAGGGTCGTTTCACCAGGGTCGTTTCGATCCGGGGAGGATGTGATGCAAGATCCAGTGATGAACCCAATTGAGCTCGCAGGAGGTGCGCATTTTGATGTTCAATTTTGCAGCCACTTGCAGTGACTTGAAAGCTGTCTGCGAACACTCTGGTGACAAGTGGCTGCAAGTGGCTACCAAGTGGCTGCCCAAGCAAGTGGCTACAAGTGACTGCTACTGTTTGGACAATATCATTTCTCCGCACAGCGAAAAGGAAACCAGGATTTCTTCGATGCTTTTCCGCGAATATCTTAGTAGCAAAGGACGCTACTAGGGGCTCCTGGCATCGCTGCTAGGAGCAAGGGCCTTACTACTAGGAGCAAGAAGCTAGTAGAAACAATATAAGCCAATGGTACACCATGCTTCCCGGTTTTCTCAGAGCGCGCGGAGGAATCGTGATATTCTCCGAGGCTTTTTCGAGAAATCCCGGACTTTGCAGAGCTGGCGACGAAGAAGTCTTAAAGTCTTAATATTCTCAACTCCACGGCTTTTAAACGAAGAACTCTGAGTAATCTCCAGTGACTTGGCAGCTGCTTGCCAGCGTTTTGGATGTTTTGATTGCAAGTGGCTGCAATTGCAAAACCAAAAACCAACATGTAACATGTACGTCATTTGCTCGTTCTCTGTTTGAAAAGCCGTTTCAGGCTTTTCAGCAGCGAACACGGAGTTTTGCTGTGTCGCATTGAGCACTTAAGACAAAGAGAATCAACTGGCAGGTGTCAGTGTTTTTAATCTGACTGGACAAAGAGCAGCTTGATGCGAAAACCAAACTTTTCGCGGCGGCCGCGCAACTCAACTGAGGGGCTTTTAAAGAATCTAATCCTGAACGATCGCGAGCGAGGTGCTAATCTAACTTGACAAAGTGAAGGCAAGTGTGCGAACAGACTCATCAAGAGATGATGCTTGACGGAGAGAAGGTTGAGAGACTTGTCCAGCTGGCTGAACGCCAGCATTGGGATATCTCGTTGAGGAAAACTATTTGTTGAATGAAGTTGCTGTGACATTTATGCTTACATCTTGAAACAGGACGTATTGGTCTTGCATGGTCTTCCCCATTCGTCGACCCGGTAAGGGCAAACCATACAATACATATTGCCCTCACATCTTACAGGTAGTTGTTCAACGCGAGGTTGATAACCCCTTATCTCAAGTCTTCATGCAGAAATCTTATGGTGTTGGCATTGGCCTTAGAGAACATGTCTAAGAAAGAACAAGTGCCTTACTTGTAGTAACAAGAACCTACTAGGAACAAGTGCATCGCTACTAGTAACAAGTGCCTTACTAGTAGTAACAAGGACGCTAGTAGGAGCAAAGACACATGCAAAACAGCGATATGAAAGACACATGCCTCGTGAATCCGTGAACAACTCGATATCGCCTTCCCTTTGATTCGAATAGCCCTGTTTGTGCATGCCTAGCAATGCTCCCGTTTTCATTGTTAAGGCACTCAGGACTCTTGCAAACTACAAGACCAGGTCCAGTTAGAGATGCCATTTTGAGCCACAGTTCATCTCTCTCTATATATATATATATATTATATGTAGCATCATCTCTCTCTCTCTCTCTCTTGTACATTTGTGTAAGTTGGTGTTACGTGGATAGTCCACCACTTTCTACCGCGACCACACCGACTGAACGTGAGCCTGAGAGGGGAACAAATCTATATATGCATAGTTTTTCAGACCACGATCGTGTTTCATACCAAAACCGTAGATGAAAAGGTGGGAGGCTTCTAGGTTAGAGGCCATCGCTTGTAGGTTGGAGGTCATTACTACTGTACCAGTAGCCAGAAGAAGCCTTTGTGACTTGTTCAGTTGTCCGAATGGGACCTGCAGGGGCGCCCCAACGCTCTCCCCCGAGCGGAGTCTCAGGCCATGGTGGGTTTTTTCTTCATGGTGCTCACCAACGCCTCCACTGGCTTGGGGACCCAAGGACGGTTTTGGGTTCGCCGAATGGCGTCATCGGATTGCGAAGCGGACGAGAGATGCTTCAAGCCATTTTTGCCCGTCAACATGCTGATCATGTTGGGGTGGTTGCAGCATGTTGAAGATACGCTCCGAAGGATCAACATGAAAGTGAACAAACCATCCTGGAAGCCACCCGTCCAAGGATGCCGAACCTGGATTTCTCAGGTTCTTGCTTCATTTATAGTTATAGATCGATGGGATTAACTCTACTAGTGACTAGTAGGGATGGCAAGACATCATGCGTCTACCATTTTGAATCCATTATATATATAGGGTGGAAACATCATGTCACAATGGCTAGTGGCTAACTGTTGACTCAGGTTCAGGGGGTTGCTTGCGACCAATCCAGGCGCGCTCTGGAATTCCAGCAAGGAGCCTTCCTTTGGACAATCGCTCAACAAAGCAAAGAAGCACTTCTTCGGCACATCGTGGTCTTGCACCTGGCAAGACCGGCTGCCTCACCAATCAAGTAACCTCAAGGCTTAGGCATGTCAAATCACAAACAAACAGGCCTAGCTTGTCAACTCAACCCAACCGCCCTGCTTTTGCAGAGGGCTCAGCTTGCCATACTCAGAATGTTCGGAGGTGAGCTGGAGCAAGCAGTTGTGAGCATGCGACCGGAAGGCACATGAGGCTTCCACCTAAGAAGCTACTAGTAGCAAAGGCTTCTAGGTTGGAGGCCATCGCTAATAGGTTGGAGGCTAGCTAGAAGCTACTAGATTGGAGGCAATTGCTAGTAGGTTGGCGGCCATTACTACTAGTAGCATTCTTGCTACTAGCAACAAACTTGATTCAAGCTGACAAATATCCTGCTCATACTCAGATGGAAGTGGACAACGTGTCACCAACAGCAGCTTCGATACATGACACATGTTGCGGCAGGAATTAGTGGAGGTAGCCACTGGCCACGCTTCATAAATCTTCAAAAGAACTTTAGGAACCTCTTTGTAGCGGGTGAAATCATTTACTTGATTGCTATAATCCAGTGGCCTGCTGCTGCTGCTGCTGTTGCTGCTGCTGCTGCTGCTGGTGTCTTTGGTTGACACTCCGGTGATGGAACTCTGACCATTCCTACCCTACTATTGCCTTTGGATTGTGTGCGATACCAAGCTGGGTTGCTCCCAGCTCGTGCCGATCACACTTGGCCACTATCGTCATCAAGATGCCCCGTTTTGTAGATTGATGTGCTTGGTGACACGTTGCTTTCGCGTGTGTGGTTGCAACAAGTGGAACAGAGTTCAAGATCTGTCCTTCTACCCCTTTCCATGGTCGCATGTAGCGAGCGACCGAGCCGGGAGTTCCCCCGGTTCCTCTTGCGTCTACTATGCGGATTGCCCTCAGGATCGGTGTCAAGCACTTGGAACATCTGAAATGACCCCACTGGCACCCTGTGTTTTTTTGCTGCAGGAGGTGGCTGAGACACCTGGAGAATTCAAGGGTATCAAGCCTGGTAGTTGATCATTAGTATTATCAGTGGTCACGTTGGACTTTGTGGGACGCTGCCCCAAAATCGATCGCGGGGAACATTACTTTCACGCGACGATTTCAGCAGCGACTGGACATCAGCGCCCGTCGCGTTGTTGGAAACAGCCTGAGGCCAGGGTCCATCGCTGTTGCCGACCTACACGCAGGAGGAGTTCCAGTCCACGGTGCGATGGGAACCGCACTGGGTGTTTGGCACGGTGCACGGTGTGGCACCAGTCTGACCGCAGAAATGAAGAGGTTCTTGGTCCTCTAGCTGGGCCTGCCTGGTGATTTTGCTTTGAAAAGATGGTTGCGCTTACTCAGGTACAGCAACAGGAGTAGATTTACACAACCCTTGGCTGCAAGATGCTGCAAGCCTTGGCCATAGTTGTTCGATGAATGAACGTTGGGTGGGTTTTGATGAGGTTTGGGCCAGTTTGGGCGTTTTGACTCTCGATGCCAAAAGTTGCAACACAACCAATACTCAAAAAAAACAGAAACATACATTCGACTAGTTTTTCTATTCTTGAAGGTTAATACTTATGTATAACTATTATATTTGGTTCTAATTACATACTCTGCAGGTTCTTCACAAAATCTCCAGAGGTGTACTTCAGGTGTGCCAAGACCTAGAAATCATTGAGGGGTTGCTCACCTGAAGGGAAAGCCCACAAAACGTTGAAGAACTATAGGGAGCTTGAGGGAAGCTTCCCGCATGGGCAAAACCAGTCCTCCCAACTGTTCAGAACTCCAGAACCCACCAATCACGGGTACGGGCCACCGGTCCAAGACCGGCGACCAGGTGGGCGACTTCATCCCCAAGGGTCTCTAGGGGCAGAACCACCTGCCCAAACGTCTCTCGGCCAAAACTCGACGGTGCAAGTGCAAGCACAAGGCGTCTTTTCAACAATTTGTTTGGGGTATTGTCAGGGTGGTTCGGAAGCAGGACGCGGAACAACTGGGGATGGCAGGTAGACACATGTTCATCCAGGATTTGTCATACTTGTCCTTGAAAATCCATTGTAGTCTTACGTCGAATTCTTTGGACATGTTTTTAGATGGCGAAACACCTTCACCGACTTGTCATAGTCCGTTGTGGTGTTCTTGTTTTCAGTTTCTTTTGGACTTCAATCGTGACAGCAGCTTTTGCCTATGTGTGACTATATGTGGCTTTTCTTGCTGGTGTCGCTGGTTGGGGGAACCACGTAGGAACATGTAGTACGCTGAAACAAGTCACACCCAGCAGACCGCACGTTTGAGTCTGATTTGGGGGTGGATCTTATGCCCAGATGCCCAAGAAGCTACTAGGGGTTCCTGGCATCGCTACTACGAGCAAGGATGCTACTAGGGGCTCCTGGCCGTACTACTAGGAGCATCGTTACTACTACTGTAGTAACAATTGAGACTTGAGACCCCTTGAAGTGGGACCTTTGCCCGGAAGAACGAGGTCGGCGCTTTGGCACTCTTCGCAACGAGGTCGGCTGCGCTGCAAAACCACGGTGGTCGGATTCAGAAAAAGACGCTTTGGGGTGCTGGGAAGAGGAGGGAGTAGAGGAATCATGGTCATGGCCCAAATCCTTGCGAGTTGTGTGTGTGTGTCACACACACACAAGGTCATGGACTTCAAGCACATGGGGCGAACGCAGCTGTGGGCAATAGTCATGTTCATGTACTTCTTTGCCGGCAAAACAAGAGAATGAAGGTGTTTGACCAGAAAACCTTGAGATGAACAGTTGAGATGAACAGTCCATGGAATCTTCTTTCCGGAAGATAAAACATCTCTGACACTTGTAGCTCATTCCCTTCCGGTCCTGATGTCGAGTCTAGTTCGTCCCCTGAAAAGGCAGTTCCAACCAACTCAGCCAACGTTGCGGGGAGCAGCACTGTCACCAAAACTTGCCAAAGAACAAAAGAACCAAAAGGAAGACTGATGGTTCTTTGGCTAATTGATGGGACACAACTGCTCAAGACTCGAGAAACAAGCACTTTGGGAACTCGAGGTTAATGTTTGATGATATGGATATTTGATGTATCCTTCATGCATTCTGCATTTCGACCTTCAACTTCGCCATTTGCAGCTCGAACAGGGCTCTTTTTTGCACCGTCCGCCGCCTTGCCGTGCGCCTTCGTTTTCTTCTCAGCCTCGGTCTCAGAGGTGAGCGCCTTCGTTCACTGAATCGGCCATCTGATCCATCAGACACTCCAGACTAGCTTCTTGTTACTACTAGTAAGGCACTTGTTACTAGTAGCGATGCACTTTTTCCTAGTAGCTTCTTGTTTCTACTAGCTAGCATATTCACATGATAATTCTGATACATCACCGGGTGGGAGCGAAAAGGTGCTGGGTCTTTTTCGGATGTGGACAGCTTTGGTCCGAGATGGGACCTTCATGAAACTTCTACATGTGTGTCGATCTGTGTGGGTTTGAGCAGGGAGACACGCTGCCCGAATGGGCAGAGCTGTATTTTCCGAACACTTGAGGGGAGTCGGAAACGCCTGGGATGTCTCCCTATGTCAATAAGCAGCCACATCCCGTGGCCAGCCTTTGCCGAGCCCGGTTCGCCTGAGGTCTAGAGTCTAGAGGAATTGGATTGAGTGTGCTGGTCCTGGCCGGCAAACACCTCAGTTGCACAATCCCTATAGGTGCTAATCCCTTCAAGGGCCGGGGGCTAGGAAGCCCTAGTAGCGTCCTTGCTCCTAGTAATGCCAGGAGCCCCTAGTAGCTTCTTGTTACTAGTAGCGATGCCAGGAGCCCCTAGTAGCGTCCTTGCTCCTAGTAGTAAGGCCAGGAGCCCCTAGTAGCTTCTTGTTCCTAGTAATGCCAGGAGCTACTAGTAGCGTCCTTGCTACTGGTAGAAATGCTTCGATTTGAACAAGCATCCGAAAATGGCTTGGGATCTAGGAGCCGGATGGAGCTGGCAGGTATGACGAACTTGGATGACACATTGTGCAACAAGAACCATTGACATCCATTGACCAGATCTCTTGAAAACAATTAGAAATCTCGATAATCAGTTACATTATACGTATATATATATATATAATGTTATAACTATATTTCCTCAAAATGTAAATTGGCTTTTGGTTTTGCCTTGGTTTTTCCTCCACATCCCTGGCCAAGCCGCTCATGCCGTGTCCAGGTCATGCCCGCCATGTCCAAGATCGCCGTCTGTGGCGGCGCCCTCATGGCCGCCAGCGCCTTCGTCACCCCGGCGGGCCCCAGGTGGGCTGGGGAACCGGTGAAGATCGACGGGTCAACCGACGCACAATGGTTTTGATGAATTCATACTGTACAGATTTGTACCTTGTCATATCTTAGATAGAGTAGGTGTTGGAGACTATTGGTGCTGCAGCAGGGTTGCATGTCAAGCTCACGTCATGCTCGGCATTTGAAGCTACCCTGAGTCGGCTGACGAGTGGCGTCCAGCTGAACAACTGCACGAGGACCGCGAGGATGCAGAGCAGCCTGCGCGGAACGAACGTGGAGCAGGGAAAGGCCAAGTCAGGCCAGGCATGGCGAAGCATCGGGCGAGGCTTGGTGAGGTGTCTGGATCTGGAGAAGATGAACCACTGCATGAGATGTGGTTTTGAAGTACCTGGTTACTGTGTCTTTTGGAACTAGGGAGGCCATCTCCTCCTTCCCATCAACGGTCAGACTTGCTCACTATTGCCGGTAGAGTTCCCGGTTCACCATCCTGTGTCATCGTCATCCAGGAATCCACAATATATTCGTTGGAATGTCATGTCCCCTTTTGCCCGCGAGCCTTGTATTTGTGGAGGGGGTATCTCCAAAGACTGTGGAGGAAGTCCCTCGAGTCATCGGTTCTGCAGTGTTCAGGCAAAGCACCAACAGGTGGTATCAGGATGTATCCTGGTATTCCATTGAAGAAGTGCCATGCTCTGGAGAAGTGCTACCAGGCTTTTGAGGTACACAGTTAGAGCAGTTAGGGGTCCTGGGGAGTGAAGTTCGATTCGGAAGGAACGCCACGGAACGCCGCAATGGTGTTGGTACGCCATAGCAACTGGTGGTTCGACGCTTTGTTGGAGCCAAACCCAAGCATCAGCATAAAATGAAGGATGGTCCAACTCAACCAGTTTTGATGTAGGAAGGACCTCAAGGGATGGATTACACTACATACATACTGATATGGTCTGACATGTATGCTGTATGACCCCAGGTCAAACACCCGGATGTTGGAAAATATGCCAGTCCATGCCAGTCTCATTAGTCGTGTTTGGGATTGGTTGCCTGTAATTCTGTATATGTATGTGTACTGTACTGTATACCGTAATGTACTGTACTGTAATGTAATGTCATGTATTCACATTCCGCATAGGGAGTGTCTGGCAATCAGAAGAAAGAACACCTGCCCACCTGCCGTCACCCTCGGAGGCACCTCCCTGAGCGGTGCCTTGGCCAGCATGGCTGGCTTGGCCGCAGTGGCTGCAGTGGCCAATCGCCCAGCCAGGCTGGGCGGCCACAGTCGTGGCACCTCCCTCCACCAAACAACATCCCGAACATAGAGGAATCGGCTCAGCCATGACAGGGTGCCCAGATTTTGACCTATACAGCCATTTCACATCTGGGGATGGGATGGGATCACAACGATGCCATTTTGCAGACACCAACTATTGGAACATCTGAGAAACATGCTCCCAAACATGGGTCATTGCGGTGAAACCTCAAGCCTGACCAAGAAGCTGGTATTGGTGATCCAAACTATATCTTGTGAAGATTTGCGGTTGTTTGCTTTGGCTATTCTGTTCATTCACAATAGGATCCTGTTTATAGAAACCTATTTTTCAGGGAACTGACATGATAATCAGCTCTACCCATCCCTCGCACGTATCTGCGCTCACCCCAAAGAACCCCCACTTCAGCCAATCACACTTCAGGGGTTTGGAGTTGTCAGACCCAGTTTTGACTGCTTTTGGTCTTCAAGGCCGCAAAACGACACACGTTTCACTTCACCCTAAGGAGTCCTAAAGAACCCACTCAAAGATCCTTGAAGGGGTCACTTGCGGAAAGCAGGGTCACTTGGGTCTTTCTAAGGCTTCAGGTTTTGAGGGGAAAGTTGGCAAATCATCTGGAATTGCAAGCACCCTACACTTCCTTTTGTGTTTCGGTGCACGTCTGGGAAGCTGGAATCCAGCCACCACCGCGCTCGCCAGGACCCCCCAGACAGTTCTTTGCGCCTATGATGCATCCAACGCCTGAGTCCCAGCCAGTGAGGAAGAGAAAAGCTGGGATCCGAGTAGTGGACAAAACCTATGGTCATAGGAACCGATTGGCAATGGTCCATGGTCATGGCCTTCCTTTGCGGGTGAGTTTACAGGCTTTCTTCGGACCAGGGCACCAAGGGATGACGGCACTGGGGGCAAGGCTTACCCCAAAAGATTGGCTTGTTTCACCTCTTACAGATGGCACAGACTGGCACAACCTCGAACTGGCAAAACCTAGCTCGTTTCCTGTAGATAAACAGGTTATTCATTGCACCATAGTATGATAATGTCCATGTATGATAGTGTCCATGCCATTCATCACACCCGCTCCACAGGTCTCGTCAAAGCCGTGTTTGGCACAGACTCGTCGGTCGGTCCACACAGACTCGCTGGTCGGTGCATTCGATCGAAGGCTGAAACCGAAGGCTGCACCAAGTCTAAGTTTGTGCAAAGTGACCAAGTCTAGAGGGAAGTACTGGGTGTTCTATTTATGCACAAAACGAGTGCTTGAATCTACCTGCTAAAGGCAGACCACATTTTTTAGCCTTTGTGCAGCTCGCTATCTCAGCTTTGCTGAAGACTAACATAGACCTTGAAACATACACCAAGTTTCCCACGACAAGTTGTCTTTTGGACAATGTTGTCCATGAGATTGGTTGCGTTTGCATTCATGTCCAGTTCGGTGTTAGTTATGGGATGTAGTGTACCTTTATTTTGTCAGGATACTCAACAACCATCATAATATATATATAATATTATGTATGTATACGCACACATGCATATATATATATATATACACATGCATACTTATATTATAAATATATATATATAGCTGCTATATATATATATGTTTCATACTTTAGTGGTTTGGAAGCAGAGCAAAGTAGGTGAACTCCAATTTTGCGTGTTTGGCGCTGAGGAGATCGGTGCCTGCGATCCTTTGCTCTTCTGGGATCCCATTGGTGGGATCCGAAGTGGAGCGGGATGGAGCTGGACTGGACTAGCAGGGTATACAGCTGGACTAGTAGCCAAAAAATACGACTTGTGGACACTCTCCCGAAACGTTCAAGCCCTTCCATGCTGTTGTGGGGTACTGAAGGTTGTAAGTGAACCTGCAGTAGAAGAAAATGCACCAAAAGCGGATGCCAAAAAGGATCCAAAACCTGCTCCAGGCCACATCGGGCCCCTGACTAACCTCTTGGCACCGAGAAAGCGTGGAGGTAGCTGGCCGGGTCGGGGGGGAACCTTCTACTAGTAACAAGGGCATTGCTATAGTAACAAAGGGCATTACCACTAGTAACAAGAAGCTACTAGGAACAAAGGGTATCGCCACTAGAGCAAGGACGCCACTAGTAGCTCCTGGAGGCAGGCTGTATTTTCCCATATGTGTCCTTTGGGATCGAGAGCGGCAACTTGTCAAATATAGTGTTCTAGCTGGACTAGACCCTCCAATGTCCTCATAAAGTTTGGACATGACGCAACAAACAAGGTGTTTGCACTTTAAGGCCTTTAATATCTATAGCTAATTAATAGCTAATTATTGATAATTTTCCCAATGCGTTTGGTAGCCCGTCTTTCATGAGCAGCTTCTAAATACCGCCACAGCCGCCACATCGGTATTTTTGGATCCGAGAGGACACACAATTCAGATTGGGCACTGAAACAGTGTGGGTCATCGGAAGCTTTTGCAGCTAGAGCTGAGACTTTGTGAGTTTCTGGATGACTTGAATGGGGGTTCTCCCAAGAACCTGTAGTCTTACGAAGTTTTGCTCTTTTGCATGAGTCTTTGAATCCTGTTTGGCTTTGCTCGCACGGCAAAGATATGAGAGTGATCGAAAACAACGCTGCTGAGCTACGCATAGCTACGGAAGGTTGCCCACCCACCTTGATGTTGAACCCTTCAGCGATGAAGTCATGTGCGTCAGCAGTGCCCAATCCTCCGAGGTTACTGCGGGGGCGACTGCACCAAGCAGGACTGATATCATAAATCTAACTCTTTTTGGCTCAGGCATGGGAGGGCAGGACCTCAGGAGGGCCGGTTTGGTGTCAATGAATGACTCCTAGAGATGTCAGGTGGGTCGTCAATGTCAATTTCCTTCTAGAAGCCTATTGCCGGGGTCTTCGCCCACAGTGTGTCAAACTAGAGAGGCACCGATGTCATCAAGCCCGATCTGCTCATGCTTCAAGATCGAAAGGTGCTGAGTTTCTTGGATGCGCGACCAGACAGGATGTGCAAGATCACGAGATCGGGATCACATGCAGACGCTGAAGTCCAAGGGACGTCAAATTGGCATCGACATTCTCATGAACTTGTTTGATGAGGTAAATCCATCTTGCGCGATTTGGGTGTCGGACGGATGGACTATGGATTTCTCCATCGGATTCTGGGACACCCGGCACATAGCATGCCTTCATGGGAGTCAAGCCACCCTGGGAGGTGAGTGATGGTGAAGGATGGACATAGTGGTGCCATAATTAGTTTATTACGTCTCAAGTAGCTACGAACGAGATACCGTCATCTGGAGGGATTTTGGTCCTCAAATCTTCGTCCCTCCCGTCCCATCTGCTCCACCCCCGGGGCCCAGAGGACTTCGATCGGCGACGGGCGGTGGAGCTGAAGCATGGAAGGATTTGCATGTTCGCCACCATCGGCCGCTTGGATTTGTGTTTCTGGGAGATTCGGACACGATCTGGTTTGTCCAACGACGTCGCGGAAGAAGCCGACACACCGCAATCACCCCCCACATGCAAATGAAGCAAAGAGTCTAACCGGAGATGTAAACTTACTGACTCTGGTGACATGGGATGTTTGGTTCTTTGCCACACATCTCACGTTCTGGTGGTTTTATGATGTTTTATGATCAGAAAAAGGGCATCCGGCTTTTTGCCATGGCTCGGTGTCCAGGTGGCTGCGGAATTTTTCATAGGAGGTCAAGAGGAAGTGTGTTTGAAGGTTCTGGCAAAGCATGACAATGCATTGGAATCCAGAGTTCTTGCCGAGGATAGTAGAATCGTTTTACCCAGTTGGTCCCAGTTACTACAGTATTCATTGATATTCATTGTAGTATTCATTGTATATATTGAGGAACCAGTTGTCTATATATATATATATGTTTGTTTTGTTTTGACTGGCTGTATAATGCATGCTTCATGGCCGATGGAACCACGACAAGAGACTATGTAGGTACATGCCCAACCATGATAGTCATGTCATTGGTGGGATAGTCTACTACGATGATGCAATATTTGCATGAGCGAGTTATTGTGTCCCGGCCTCGTTTTCTTTTTTCATCCCGTTCGTTGGGAAGGAACTCGTGAAGAACTCTTTCGCTTTCATCAGACAGAGATACCTAGACCTAGACCTTCCAAAGGGTGTCCAATGGACTACCCGGACTACCCTACTCTACTTAGGGACCTTGGTCCATGGGGCACCCGTTGGATGGTCCAGGTATAGTATTATATGAACATTCTATATTAAACTATATATATGTGATTATATGTGTGCGTCTTTAATGTTATTTTAATAGATTGATTTTGCCCTGTAGTTAAGGGAATTTCCCGCAGATGTTGGCAATGGACGAACACTATGTTGGATCTTTGGAACACAAACAATGCACCACTGGCAAAAGAGTGACTTCAACAAAAAAGGTTGCACCTCCGACCTAATTTGCTAGAGCATCGAAATGGTTGTTGATGTATGACTAAGGTAACAGAGGTATGTCTCGACCATGAGGGTTGATCGATGTTTATTTGCTTCATCCATGTTTGATGATCAAACTTTGATCCATTCTTTTTTCCCTCATGGAACCAACAAAACATCAGTTTGAATAAGGTTTCATGGGTTCTTTCTGGTTTTGATCACCCTCCCTTCACACATGGGTTCTGAACGTGGCCCCTTAAGCCCTGTTTCCGGAGGCTTCAGATCAAGAGCCCCGAGTCGGACCTGTCCAACGGTCGTCAGGTCGTCCACGAGGTCGTTCTCGAACCAAGGTCGGTAGGTTAGGAGGTCCCCAGGTTGATGGAAGAAATCGGACCCATGATCCAGCTGAAAAAAAGACTGGAAGCACCATGTCAGACAGTAGAGTAGCGGGATAGTATGGCATAGTAGCGTGTCCATTTTCCTCAGGTGCTGAGGTGTTTTATCTTTAGCGGCTTAACGCACAGCGCTGCCCACCGAGAAGACACGTGAACACCACGGCAGAACCTGGTGAGTTTTGGAAGCTCAAATAGAGAAGATGTTGGGGTGATGAGGTCCTCTTCGGTCCAGTTTAGTTGAGAGCTGCACTCCGATCCTCTGACTTGAGATGAAAACGGAGCCAGAAGCTCCTCGTCAGAGTGTTCGATGGTGGAAGACATGACTCGTGTAGCAAAAGATCGAAGTGTTCGGGTTTCCAGTAGCAAAGTCTTTGGCTTTGACGATGTTCTTGGTGTCGTGAGTCCCCAGCATCCATTGTCCATCGTCTCTCTTGTTAGCACCGTAAGTGTGACCAAGAACCGTGCTCACTGAGGTTGTAGGACCGAGGTGGTCTCCCAAAATGCTTGGTGAGTCAATTGAACGGTCAGCCCCAAGGAGTTCCACAGGGTAGCTACTGGCGGGTAAGGGTTAGCTGCGGTTAGCTTTTATAGCATCTCCAAGCAATCTTTTTGATTCAAAAGAAAGTGTGCACGACTGTTCCCAGAGTCGGTTTCTTTGTCTCGTGGCTGTCGCGGGAAGTGTATCCAAGACAGATCCCATCAAATTTAAGTTACTACTGTGGGTACAAACCAAAAAAATAATACGTTCTACAGGAACGACGCGGGGCCATTGCATTTTGCAGGATGTTGCATGCAGTCGCTGCAGGTCGAAACCATTAAGTGATAATGTACATGCCCACATGATGGTCTCTCAGGCAAAATCAGACATGGGCAACACTTTCATTGCATCAAAGCCAAGTCAGCCATAGCGACCAATCAGGCACTTTGTTGTTTTGGTCCAGCTTGCGAGAGTTTGCTTGAAGGTTTGCTTGCGCAGACTACGTGGTCCAAGGCTTGTGAAGGAAAGGCGTGATTGCCGTCACAGCCCCGCTACTTGTCAATTTGTCCCGCGAGGCTCCTTTAGAGCCCCGGGGGAAAGAAGCAGTTAGAGAAGTATCAAAGCAACCAGGCGCTTGCACAAAGAGCCGGCGGTGGGTGTCATGAGTGTGCTCTCTCAATCCTGGGGCAACCTTTGTATGCAACAACTACTATAGGACTATAGGTTAAAAGAAGACCTGTTTGATGGAGCTGTCATGTCAAAAAGTGTCATATGTCTCTCCTTGTGCTCTTTGGGATCTCGACCTGCACCTGGTGCAACAGGGCACAAACCGGGTGCAAAATTGATTAAACCCTACGCCGCACACTCTCCAGCTCAACTTTTGGCATTCCAACGATCAAACGGTCACTCTGGGATGCGCTGCAACTTGCAAAAAATTGAGAAACAAGTCTATGGCGGAAATTTGCGGGAATATGGCAGGAACTTGCGGACTGAACATTTACAGCATGTTGGGCATCTCGCAAACACTTCAGCTTGACCAGGCTGCGTTTCGAAACCTTATCTTTTGCAGAACCTTCAAATGTTATTTATCCCACTATAGGTCATCATATGTCATTTGTTCGTACATATCGTTTCTTCAGTCCGGCATCGCGTTTTTTGTGCTTTCAACTATCACTGTTCTGCTTGGAGTCCATCGGGTGGTCCTGGGTGACAGGGTTTTCATTGTGTGACTGCGACGGAGAGGACACCACCGGAAGGGAGGAGGTGAACAGTAGCTTGCACGAGAGTCCAATCAATTCTTGGAGGAAGGACTCGTTTGTTGATTGGGTTTGGGTAGTGTTGTGCTAGGGTGGCGGTATTTTTTTTAGGTCTATTCTGTATATATATATATCTGTGTATATTTATTTTGTGTTCTGTGGTCTTCGGCAATTAAAATTGACATGTGGCTTGGTCTCACTGTGATCATTCCAGCTCATGACGAGTAAGACGAAC